GTATTCATCTCTTCCATTTCTGGGGCTGCTCAAATGATTCCAAAATTGAAGCTGGGCCAAGATAAGTCATTAGTTATCAACCCTAGCATTCCCAAACAAGAGAATACAGGGGTTCATTTTCCAAACTAGGGCTCAACGGCAGAGCAGACCAGTAGAAGAACAGTGGTAACCACTTTGCTAAGGGGCAAAGCTTCCAGGAAATAACTGGATGACTAGAGCCAGACTCAGTCCCTCTAACTTGCATCAGGGATAAGCCGAAATGTGGGGTTAGGAGTCCTTGCTAGGAAGCGTACAGGGATGAAGAAGGGAGTCTCAAAGATAGATGGGGCATGGGGGTTATTTTAGGATGACAGATCACCCCATGCATACAAAATGGTTATCTCTTCCAGAATTTCACATAGATAAGATTTGGTTTTCTTTGCATCCATGCACACTGATTTGGCATATCTTGTATAGAAGTGAATTAAGACCTCGTATTTACTGCTGTTGTTATTGTTGTTATTATATGCATTGTGACAACTATCAAGTTGAGTTCACAGTCATATTTCAGCTTCTGTCCAATATACATGGCTTTACAAACACATACACACATTTTTGTCCATATTTATTCTGCGACATAATTTCATGAACCTGTAACTCTAGCTGAATGACAAAACAAAGTTGGTGACTAAAGCAAAAATGTGGTCTGTATAACTTGAACCAAAGCAGAATTTTGAAAGAAGCTATGAAGATATTTTAAGCCTAGAAGGAGGCAGTGTACTGTAGTAGGAAAGGCACTAAATATACTTTAGTCCTGGCCCGGTCACTTGTAAACTCTGGCCTTGGGCAAGTCTTCTCTTTTATAAGCCTTAGTTATTTCACCCTTAAAATACAGTACTAATGCCTTACTTGAAGGGACTTCTAAAAGCTAAATAAAGTCAATGTTTGTGAAAAGAACTGGTATAATACCCATCACATGGGATATACCCAATCCTCTAGATTTCAATCTGAATTGTTTTTAGCTTAAATTGTTTTGGGAATAATTAGTATTATTTATTTCACTTTTGTTGTTGTTGTTCACTAAATGTGAGTCTTCTAAAGAATGAAGTTAGAATGCCTCCATGACATGAGCTTGAGGATTGAGTGTTTGCCTGTTTTGTTTGGGTTAGAATTTTAAAGCTCAGTCGGGAATTAAGGTAAGCACAAGGATGGAGCTATTAAGGAAATTGGAAAGGCACAGACAGTTGTGGAATGTGGGAGCTCCTGTTTGATTTTAAATGTAAGTTAAATATTAATTTTTCTAAAAAAAAAAAAAAACTCGTCCTCCAGGGAGAGTTTTCTCTCTCACTCTCTTATGTTGACAGATTGTTGGTGGTTTGCCTTTCACACTAACTTACTTGGAAGAAAAAAGTCTTCAGATGATCCTATTTGCGTAAAAAAAAAAAAAAGTCTTCAAAACAACTCCCTTGTCGCCAGCATCAACAGTCACTGAACACGGGTTGGGTTGTTGCACAGTGAGAATTATTCCTTTCATTTCAAAGGAATCAAAGATGTTTGGGGCAAGCAAAAGCCCTGGTTACACATGATCAAAATAAACTCATATCTGATCTGCTTATGGAAAGTGTTGATTAAGCCTACTGCTGAAGTCTGAGTACACTTTTTATTGTTCCAAAGAGACTCTGTAAGGAGAAAAGTCAGTTTTAAAAAAACTAGCCTGATTTGGAGAAAATAAGAAGCGTTTAAAAATCTTTTTTTCTGAATTCCTTCCTGCTAATGGTTCCCTAAAGCTAGTGGGTGCAATGATGCTGGTGACTTGTAAACAGAAGTCAAAAGGAAATTCAGGCTTCTGTCAAGATTCATTCCAAATATAATAAAAAAAGGAAATGACTGAATCCCTTTTAAAGTTTTTGGATAGACTCTTTTGTGCTTTGGCTATTCTTTGCATTTGCAAGGAATGGGGAATAAAAGCAAATTTCAGGCTCCCAGTTCATACCTATCTTAGCAGAAATTTTATATTTCCTGTAGCATTTTTTCTCTAATCATAAATTCTTCCTTTCTTAGTATCATGCATTATTTCTTTCTCTTCTTAACAAAGAACTGAGAAAAATACTATCACTCAGTGATTCATGACACTTAGCATACGTATTTTATATCTATAATTAAATTAAGCATACTTCTCCTTCTACTGTCTATATATGTGACCTGTGGGTATAAGTTTCCTTACTTGTAAAATAAGGGAATTAGGCAAGAATTGAAATGCTCAGACTATGCTGTGTCCCAGGGTTCCTCAAGCATGGTACCATTGACACTTTAGGCTGAATAATTATTTCCTGTGGGTGGCTGTCCTTTGCATTGTAGAATGGTTAGCTTATCCCAACAAGGCTCCAATAGTATACATGTTCCCACTCCACTATTCCCTAGTTTTCATAACTAAAAATATATCCAGATATTGTCAATTGTCTCCTGGGAAACAAAATCAACCCTAGTTGAGAACAACTGCTCTAGCTGAAGCAGTGATTCTCAACCTTTGGTTAGTATCAAAAATCTCTGGATAAATTGGTAAAAATATGAAGGTCTAGAGTTGATAACTATTGTCCATAAGAAATTTGATATTGAAGTACAGCCTCTACATCACTAGGGAACTAGTTAGAAAGTGCCATTCTGGACTTAGTGAATCAGGAACTTTGAGATGGGACCCAATTAATTATATGAGAAATGGTCCAGTTTAAGAAAAAATACATTTTGGCAAACTTGGCAAAATGTAGATGACTGTCTCTTTCAACACAGAGTAGATGCAGTTGGGCAGAACATGAACTGGAATCAACTTCTTCGCACTGTATGGCTCTTATCACCATGTTGTCATGGACATTTTGTCCTGATAGAGCTTAAAAGACAACTCAAATTCGCTTTTTGGAGAAGGGATATCTGGAGGATTGCACAAGACCCTGCCTACTCCCATATCTCAGACTCATGGATTCCCCCATGGCACCTGAAACTCCAACCCATAGATTGACTCTTTGGGTTGTAGTTTTTTCTCTAAACCAGTGGATCTCAACTGTGGCTCCATATTAGAATCACCTATAAACTTCTAAACATCCCAATTCTCAGGTCATACCCTAGACCAATTAAATCAGAATCTCTAAGAGCAGGTGCCAGATAGCAATATTTAACTTCCTCAAGTGATTCCAGTGTTCAGGCAAATTGTAGGTGTCAGTTTCTTTCAAGTCAGATAGGGATTGTACAGACTGAAACAAAGTAGTAAGACATGCCAAAAGCTTGAAAGGGCATGGTCAGTTAAGGAATTAGCAGGATGTTTGGTGTGATTGCAACCTACAGGTTTTTTACTTTGTGCCATGCTAATTATCTCCCTGTTTTCCTAGATCCTTCCAGCCAGAGCCATCTTCACAGCCCCTGCCTCCCATAGTGCTTTGAACCTAACATGTATCACATTCTACCCTCTATTATAGTCCTGCACATCATGTTTGTATCCTATATAAGGATGCTGGTTTGTTCATCTTTTTCACCCAGAATACCCACTCTGAGAGTAGGCATCCAAAATATTAATTTAATTGAAATATATTAAATGATGTAGAAATGTCAGCAAATGAAGAGATAGCATATAGCAAAGCCTCCTGGCACTTTGCTCTCAGTCTCAAAGCATGAGTTATGTCCCTATCCCAAAGTGCTTCAAAACCTTCCTTCCATTAGTGGATTAATAACTCTGAACTCCAAAGTCTTCATTTGAAAACAAAGATAATCCCTGAAGAAGAAGGCTGGGATGAGGACCCAAGTGCTGATTCTGGAATACTGACCAAGGCATTCTGTACACACACAGTTCCAATTTTCAGCTCCAAATTGGATCTTTTTCATCAATGATATGAGCCAAATTAGTAAGATTTAGTGGGAAAAATAATAAGAGCATGATACTTTATTGTCCCTTGGAGTTACACGGCCAGAGCTGTTCCTGGCCTGAGTTGTCATACCCAAGAAAATGAATGAAGGAATGAGCATGAACTTCTGGCAACCTCCTCAGCATAGTGGCAATTCCATACTCAAGCCTTCTTTGGAAAAATTACATCGACTGGATATACATGTGGTTCTTTCCAATCGCACTTCACTCTGCTCACTATCCTAGTTGATGGGAGACTTTGGTGAAGTTCCCACAAGCACCAGGAGACCACAGGAATGCCTCCAGGAGGCAGGCTGGAGTCCAGGGTCCAGCGTATAAGCTTGCACACATCCTTGTGAGAGTGTGGAGCCAACAAACAGGAAAGAGGGGGAACACCTTGGCTAAGAAGGTATTTATGACAGAGGAGAAGGGGAGGAACAGGAAAGCCTCCAGCTAGTCCCTTGGAGTCTGGCAGCCTTTTCTGTCAGCCTTCCCATTCCTAGATTGATGCCCATTGCTTAAGCCCTGAGGGTACTCGATTTATTAAATTGCCTCTTTGTTCAACTCTTACAATAAGAATGTGTATCTGAATATCATTTGATGTGATATGAACTTTGTCTGTTTAGGAAACAAGGACACTGAGACTTAGTTGCCAAGGTCACAGTGCTCATGAACTGACAGAGGCAGAGGATAAGTTCAGTTCCTACCTCCAACAGTTCTCTGGCCCTGTAACACCACGGTCTGCACAGGAGAGTCTGGCTGTTTATTACCCTTCCTTTGGACCAGCCCCTTGCTCCAATGCATGAACACAGTCATCCACACAACATGAAAAGGCAAGGAAAAGACCCTCCCCAAGGGAAGGAGCAATAAGCGTCGATTCCAAAGGCCCAGCGTTGAATCCTTTGCCACTTCTCCGTTCTATAAACTTGGGCAAATCACTTTTCTTCTCAAATCTCTGCAACTGGGCCTCCAGTGAGTGCTTCACTCTCAGCCTGAGATGGAACTTTAGTCTTCCTCTCAAGATAAAGGACTCTGCGCACCGCGAGGTCATACACGATTTCCTAAAGTAATTAAGCCTCGACCTCACTAAGTTGGATTTTCTTCATTTCCAAAATAGAGTAACGATATCCACTTCTGCAGCCTAGCCGGGATGCACGTGCAAAGCTCCTCGCCCCGGTTGGCCTCAAGCGGCGCTAGCTCTCTGGCTGGCACTTGAGTGAGCGGCCCCTGGCAGCCCGAGGCTGCAGCAGCGAGCCTGGGAGAGCAGCCCTCGGAGGCTCGGGCAGCAGGAGGAGCGTGTGAGCTGTGGGCGTCCCTTTAAGAGCGGCTGGCCGGGCAGAGCCTCCGCCTCTCAGTCCGCGGATTGCCGAGGGTCACCTGGGGCTCGCGGGGCAGCCGGATCGCGGCGGGGTCGGAGCGTTGCCCCGTGCCAAGGAAGGTGGGAGAGGGGATCCGGACGCGGGGTGCCCCGGAGCCCTCTCAGCGTAGCCGTCCCGCGCCCCTCTGCGGCGGAGGATGCGGGAGCGCATCTGGACGCCGCTGTTGCTGCCGCTGCTACTGCCGCCGCCACTGTGGGGCGGCCCCCCAGGCAGCCCGCGCCGGGAGCTGGAGCCCGAACCCGGGCCTCTGCAGCCCTTCAACCTGCTCTACGCGAGCGGCGTGGCCGCTGTCACTACAATAAATCAAAATATTGCCTGGGTATAGTGGCACATGCCTTGGAGTCCTATCTACTTGCGAGGCTAAAGCGAAAGGACCACCTGAGTCCAGCAAATCAAGGCTGCAATAATCATGACTGTGCCACTGCACTCCAGCCCAGGTGACAAAGTGACACTCCTACTCAAATAATTAAAGAAATAAACCTCTAGAATTGTAGCTATTGTATTTTCTCATAGAAAAAATAATTATGACGTTTTAAATACTCAAAGTT